TCTCGCTCTCTCTCTCTCTCTCTCTCTCTCCCCCCCCCTATTTCTCTCTCTTTCTCTCCCTCTCTTATTCTATTCTATTCTTTCCGTCTCTCTCTCTTTCTTTCATGTCGGCTAGCCAAGCTAATCTAGAGATCCTTTAATAAGAGATCGGACACCGTCGCCTGTAAATACTAGATTCGCCATGTTTCCAAACCGGAAGTATACTTATCTCACTTTAACTTATTGCACCAGTTCAGCAGAGCAATCAGTGCAGCTGAAAAGAACTGACCACTGCTTATGTTGTCATTCAGCTGATGATTCCAACCGGAAGCAGGGACCCAAACATGACGCAGCCAATCAAAACGTTGACATATGGTGTCCGATCTCTTATTACAGGATCTCTAGACTAATCTCCGCCTTTAGCGGAGGAATACAGTCAACTGAGGTTATCGTAATGAGGAGACGACGACGTTTCTCACGCATAAATTTACGATTTCGGACTTTGAGCTAAAATATCTCAGTTTCTAGAGCATGTAGAGTAAAAACAGTTTTATGGAGTAATGTAAACCCAAGGAATCGATTAAGCCCATCCAGAATCTCATCCGTTCAGCCGTTATAGTCGGACAAGGAATCGTGCCTGTGTTCAACTAAAGTCGTCGCGTTTATTTCCTCCTCAGCAATTACAGTGTATATCCCGAAATGAAATTTAGATATCCAGAAGATATCTGCGAAGTCCATCTTACACGTCCTTCGGCTTTCCGGAGGATCCCGAGTCGAAATTTTGACCCTACGTTGAACCTTGAATTCTATACCGCAGTAGGAGCTAAGATAGCAAAGTAGTTTAATTCTAATGATATAATTTACTCCTATTTTGATCCTAATGATCAAAGTAAGGTCTTAGGAAGCAAAGTAGGTTCAATTGCGAACTTCTATTGAAGCTTTAGCTCCTACATAGAATATGTGTATTTTATAGAAATATTTACAAAATTTAATAAATAACGAAACAGAAACGTCAAATAACATATAAAATGTACATTTTATTTGTTGCATATATTTCAGACATTATCAGAGTCAAAATAGGAGAAAATTATTTCATTAGAATTAAACTTACCTTGCTATCTTAGCTCCTACTGCGGTGTAGAATGTAAGGTTCAACATAGGGTCAAAATTTCGACTCAGAAATGAATATCAATATCGTCAAAATAGGTTTCACTTAGGTTGATTATCAAACAAAATAGGTTTCACGTAGGTAGATTATCTAACTCAAACTATTTTTAAGAGCGTCAAAGTAACATCAAAATTTTGACAAGGTAGAGTTAAAGGTTCAAAAGAGAAGTTAATGAGTATCAATATTGTCAAAGTAGGTTTTACCTAGACTATAAACCGTCTAAATAGGCGCAAAATATCCTTAAGAGCGTCAAAGTAGCACCAAAATTTCGACTCGGGATGTCATTGTGTTATCTGGGCATTTACAATTTAAATATTAGAGCATGCTCGTTAATCTTCGCACGAGCTATTGCACATACTGAAATAACTATTTCGAAAGAATATGCGTTCGGAATCTTTGTGTTGTATTTCACCAAAGTATTTACTCGTCAAATCTTCTCATTGGATATCAACTGCGAAGGCGTAAGGATATTATCAAATAATATTTAGGATAAGACTCAAATAATAAACGTATATATTTTATTATTTATTATCATCCATATATGTTTATGTAAAATATGTGTCATATATTTGTCATATATATTTGTTATAAATTTATTATACATTAATATGTATGTGGCAAAATTACTTAATACAATAATTATATTCAAATACATATATGTGTGAAAAAAATTATATTTATTTACAAAGTATAGAATATACTCAATAAACAAAAACATTAGACCAACCTTTTGAAATTTTAACCTTTTGATCTTTTAATTTTACGCGTATCTGTTGAACATTTTCGTTTAATATTTAAAAAACATTTCCAAAATCTCATTGAATAATACAATATTGCAATAACATTGCAAAAATGTTTCAAAAATATTAAAAAGTCGAAGTTATTTGTAACAATGTTACAAACTACTAAAAAACATCTTGCTAAATATCAATATCATTGTTCTATCAATAATTTTTTATTTATTGAGTAAACATGATAAAACAACACATTTCCGATACATGACGTAATTAGGTCTGTTTCTAAAATACTTATATTCTAATTATAATAACAACATTTAATTTTTTGAAATTGAACAATATGCAAACAACAATATGCAAACAACAATATGCAAACATTATTAGCCGCCCTTATAGAAATATCATACTAAGAATCATTGATAATTACTTATTTTCAGTATTAAAAATACTGGATAATAAGTAATTATCAATGATTTTTAATATGATATTTCTATAAGGACGGAAACCTAATTTACTGTCTAAATATAATTTGCGTGAGTGCAACGAAGAGAAATAAAATTAATTAATAACGTCGGATGTCGCAATGACGTCTCTGTTAATTGTGCAAAGATTTGAGTGAAAGGTGAAATAATCAGAATTATCGAGTAGCGAACATTCGAGACCAAGTTCAGAAAACATTAATATTTAAGTATGCATTTTTAAATCTTGTGAGAGAAAACGTGATAGGCTTTATTAATATAACTCACTCTTTTGAAAACTGCTTGCTGCGTATACTATTGTAATAAAAATTAACAATAAAAGTAATTTCAAAGCTATAGTAATAATAGTACTAATTTTAAAATTAATAATATTGGTAATAATAGTATTGGTAGTATTGGTAGTATTAGTATTAATAGTATTAATAATACCAGCAGTTATATCGATGCTCCTGTTACTGCTTTTGGTTGAATCACTCGAGTCTTTCAAGTCGCGATAAACTGTTAAATACTGATTATGATAAACTACTAAGTTATTCTCATCGTTTCTGTGTGGTCTAAGAGATGCGAATTTATTTTTCTCGTTAACAATAGGATTCACATGTGGTCCGAGTACTTCCTGTATAAAAGTTACATTATTATTCGCTTCAATTTTCGATGTAGCCGTTAAAATTACCGGGCAACCTTCACTCTGACAAGTCTTTATAATTTCCGTCGATGCATCCTCATTTCGAAGTTGCATGTTAAATATTATAATTATGTTCGGTTTAATATACAAAGGATCTTTCATGTAATTGTGGTACAACACACGACAATCACTAGATATAAGTAACTTCTTTTTGTTTTTGCAGGTCGTACAAGTCTCATAGGCATATTTATCTTTCATTAACACGTTTGGCCCTATCGTTATAACATGTAAAGCCGCTGAGTCGGGAATCAGTTCATGCGAGACGATTTCCCAAGCTGAAAAATTGTATGCAGGAATGTTACTTTTGCTTAGAATGTGAACAACGACCCTTTCCTTTGTCTCTACGTTGAAAACTAATTGCGCTTGTAGCATTGCGTAGATCAGTGTTAGCGGGCCTGAGAAGATATCAGAATGGATGTAGTTATAAAATTCCCGCAAACATTTCACTCCATCCTGTCGTAGGCACGATGTAATAAACTTGTTCATATCATGAACAGCGGCTTTGTCGAAATTCAAGTGCTCTGTCGGAAATCTGCTTTCTCTGTTAATATACAATAGATAGTGCTGATCCAAAGACATAGACAGTTTCAGCTGCGCACAATCGTGTATAGCTAATGAGTGCTCGGGACAACTGTAGACGGAATTACAATGCTTGCAAGGGGTCAGTCTCTCCTGCGTGTGACAATAGAGACACGATTTCGCGCGCATGAACATTTGCTTTTCGTATAGAATCGCATCACGTATTGTTATCGACTTCAGAGCCTGCAAGTTTTCCTTCTTAAAGCTGACCCATTCGCTCAACGTTAAGGAACGTGTGTTTCGTAGGTTTCTTTTCTGGCTTAAAGTGACTATAGCGTTGCATATCCACTTGTGTTCAATTAGATGCCAAATCATGTGTGACATAGAGCAGTAAGAGATCATGCCACACGAACATTCCAACAGATTTCTCATCGTCATTTTGCAAACGTGACAGACATTCGGATGAAAATAATAGTCACTATTTTCTGATCGAGACGACCAAGAATCATTCGGATCGATTTTTCTACTCATCGGAAGACTTTCGTATACTTGATATGCTTTTCGTACTTTTTGTTTGGCTCTGCTTTTCTTTTGTTCAATTTCTTTAATAGCAACACTGAAAGTTAACATTTGACGAATGTAAAATTGAACGTACGTGATATAGATGTCGAATTTCAGCGACTGTTCAGAGGATACCAATGCGACGTTTATAAGTGTCTCGGTATCTCTTGAAAAATGTTTACATTACAGTTTGAATTTCAAGGCATAACAAGTTTTATGAGTGTCTGTTACGAAAAAACATACGATATCATTTTTATGATAATATTTGCGCTTGGATATGCTATTAAGCATCGTGAAATTAAAATGATACATAGATTTTAGCACGCATCACGATGAAATAGTCTATACACACTATCACTTTTTTCAATTATGAAAAGAAATATATGTCTATGAGAATTGTTTTTCTTACTGAAAGGAGAAAACGATGACATGTGTCTCTGGTAGTCACTCTTCTTTAATAAATTAAACGAATCAAACTACGTATCTGATCTTAAAAATATTTACTAAGACATTATATATATTGCAATCATCATTTCAAAATAAATAAAATAATTATTATTAAAAGTGCATATTCTAATAAATTGACGAAGAGTGTCTAATTAATCAATGAAGACGCTCAGTATGCAATATGTGTCGTTTAAAATAATGTAATGCGAATGACGGTGCTATAACACATGATTATTGTTATACCTGAAGTTTAAAGATGGTTGGAGATGTATGGTTGTTAATCTTTGCGGGAGCTATCGCACTAAAATAACTATTGTGGTAAAACGCGTGCTATTAAAACGTGTTATTTCAAATATATAAAGGGCTTTATCCCACGCAACAATATGACGTCTTAAAGACGTTTTAAAATTTTTCAGACGTTTTTGAAATATTATTTTAAGACATTGAAGACTTTTAAAACATTGTTTAAAGATATTATTTTAAAACATCTTAAAGACGTTATTTTAAAACGCCTTAAAGACGTCTTGTTTAAAGTCTATTTTAAGACATATATATATATATATATATATATATATATATATATATATATATATATATATAAATTTGTATAATTACATATTAAAAAGTGAAGAATGTGTATGATAAAGATAAAAGCAATAAATTAATGTAGATGTCGATTGCGTTGTACATTGCGATCGATTTTCGACTTGCTCCGTTACCTCATCGCCCCGCGCGCAACATACGAGTCCCTCGAGATTCAAAAAAGTATGACTTGTAAACATATATTTCCAATAGCGGGAAGTTTAGTTATAAACATGTGTCTGCGAGTCATACGCTCTTGAATCTTGAGCGGCTCGTAAGTTGCGCGAGAAGATGAAGTAAGGAGAATATCGGAGCAAGTCGAAAATCAATCGACTTGAAATGTGCAACGCGTGCCGAGCTCTAAATTAATACATCGAGATACCGCAGTAATGTCCTTCTAAATTGCGCAAGAATTTAAGTAAAAATAAAATAATCAAAGCTGTATTATAATTAAATAATCAAAAATTCAAATAATCAATAATTAAATAATCAAAAATTAAGTAATTAGAGCTGTGTCATAATTAAATAATCAGAATGACGTGTCATTGAAAGTCCAATACGATATATAACACGGTAAATAATAATATTTAGACATATATCTTTAATTTCCAAAAAAGAAGGGTATGACGAATTTTTTAACTTTTTTTTATCCAATAAATCAAAAGGAATTGATTTAGGAATAAAAATACCAAGTGCTAAGCACTCTCGTTATGCATTACACAAAAGAACAAATGAAATATAAGTACGTGATCGTGTCACATTTATTATTATATATTTGATGTCATACGTGAATCAATGATAATATTCTCTGAAAAAAATATTGCATTAATATTTTTTTAAAATCATACTTTATTGAAATGCACTTAGTTTTTAAAAAGAATATAATTGGCCTGTTATATGTACATGTGCACGTATACAATACATAATACTACCAAAGAAATTATGTAATAATACAAATAGTTATATAAACACTGCTACTACTTTCTTTTGAATCATTAATTATTCAAATCTAGATAAATAGTCAAATACTGATTACAATAAAATACGAAGTCACTCTCATCATCTCTATGCGGTCTAAGGGATCCGAATTTATTTTTGTCATGAACAACAGGATTGATTAGTGGTCCCAGTAATCCCTTTATCAAAGTTACATTACTATCTGCTTTACTTTTCGACTTAGCCGTTAAAAGTAGTGGACAATTGTGACTTTGAATAGTAAGTAAAATTGTTTTTAGTGCTTCCTGATCCAGAAGTTCCATGTTATATCCTACAACTATGTTAGGTTTTACATAATAAGAACTTTTTATATAATCGGAATACGACATACACCAGTAATCAGATAATAATTTCTTAAACTTGCTACGACAAGCTGGACAAAGATCGTAGTCATAAGTACGTTCCCATAATTCCGGCCCTATTGATATAATTATAAGGTTTGAATTTTCAGACATTTCATGTAAAATTATCTCCCAACCTGCTAAAGTGTTTGAGATAATATACTGTCCGAGCAAAAGATGAATGACGACGTTTTGGCTGTCTTTTATCACACAGTCAAATAATTGCGCTTGTAGCATCCCATAGTACAATGTTAATGGCTGCGTGAAAACATCAGTAAGAATGTAGTCTTCGGGACTCCATGTATATTGCGGTCCAATGGTTAAAGAAGAATATCGAATAAATGTTTTCATGTCATGAACAACCTTTCTGTCGAAATTCAAATATTCCGCCGAAATCTTTCGGTTATTCGCAGAATAGTAGATAGATTCGTTGATAGAGTACCAATCCAGACTTAAAGACAGCCGTAGCTCAAAACATGGATGATCTTTAATTAATTCGTGATTAGGACACACGTAGATAGACATACAGATCTCGCAAGCGGACAGATTCCTCTGTACGCGACAAACAATACACGATTTTGCGCGCAAGAACATTTGCTTTTCGCACTGCCTCAAGTCACGTTCTAGTATTCGCCTAATGGACTCCATATTCTCTTTCTTAAAGTTGAGCCAATTTTCCAGCAACATATAACGACTGTTAAATATATTTTTTTCCGTCGTTAGTTCTACTATAGCCTGACAGATCTTTTTGTGTTTCTTTCGATGTAACATCATGTGGTCCTCGCCGCAGTAAGAGATCATGCGGCACGAAGGACATTCCGTTAAATCCTCCGTGTGCTTACAAATGTGACAAACGTTCGGATGGAAAAAGCTGTTGTAACTTTCAATTTGAAACAAACAAGACAATTTACGTCCCTCCATTATTTCCAAAATAATAATAATCATGTAACAGATATTTAAGATTGCTTCTCTTTTGTTAAATTACTTTAGAACGAACGCACGAAATTCGACATCTAACAAATGTAATCGTTTATAATATAAATGTTGATCCGAATTGTCTTGAGAACACAGGTACAATGTTTAGAAGTGTATCACGTGAAGTGTTGACAGTTCGGCTTTTTCTACAGATATAACGAACTGTAAATAAACAGTTAAGCCCCAGCAAAGTGGCTTAAATCGCACACTGAGAAAAATTATCCAGAAAAAAATTAACAAACAGATATTTTCGATCCAATTCCAATCAATTTTTATATCCGATTCGAGGATATTCGATTAAATTTAACCTAATATCCGATCATAATAACAACTTATTAGATAAGCCGATCAGAAAAACAACTTATTAGATAAGCCGATCAGAAAATTATAAACCGATTTTTTTCGGTAATTATAAACCGAATTGGAACAAAATTAAACTTTTAAGTCTTCAAGTGATACATTAGCCAGTTTTGGAATAATCTAATAATATATTCAGGCGTAAATATTAAACCAATGTTTTTTTCGATATTTTTCATCGGATGTTTCTTAATCGAATATAAAAATTCATCGGTATTATGATCGCAAATATTCGTTTGTTAATTTTTTATCA